CGCTGGTGCTGTGCAAGGTGTGACCTAAGGCTGAAGGCCTTCCCGCACTTTGTGCACTCATAGGGCTTCTCCCCAGTGTGAATCCGCTGGTGCTGCATAAGGTGTGCCCTTTGGTTGAAGGCCTTCCCGCACTCACTGCACTTATAGGGTTTCTCCTCAGTGTGAATCCGTTGGTGCTGCGCTAGGTGTGACCTGTTGTTGAAGGCCTTCCCACATACTGTGCACTCATAGGGCTTCTCACCAGTGTGAATCCGCTGGTGTTGTGCAAGGTGTGACCTGTTGTTGAAGGCCTTCCCACACTCACTGCACTCATAGGGCTTCTCCCCAGTGTGAATCCGCTGGTGCTGTGCAAGGTGTGACCTGCGTTTGAAGGCCTTCCCACACTCTGTGCAATCATAGGGCTTCTCCCCAGTGTGAATCTGGTGGTGCCGAGTAAGTTGTGACCTGCGGCTGAAGGCCTTCCCACACTTAATGCACTTATAAAGCTTCACCCCAGTGTGAAATTGCAGGTCCTGTGCAAGGTGTGACCTGTGATTCAAGGCATTTTCATAGTCAATATGCTCATAGGACTTTTCTCCTACTTGGACCTTAAGGTGATGAAGGTGCGCGCTCTTGCTAAAGGTTGTCCTGTACTCTGTACACTCATAGACCTTCACCCCGGAGTGAATTCGCTCATGTCGAACAAGGAGGCAGTTCTTGTTAAACACTTTCCCACATTCCTTGCATTTATAGGGATTTTTCTCTTTGTGAACTGAAGGATCTTTACCTGGTCCACCTGCGTCATGTTTAAGGAGAGTGACTCCTGAAGAGACTTGCTCCTGTATGATTCCTGAGCAGACACGTCCATCTGTCCACACACTATCACGTTCAGGCCTTATGTTCCCAGGGAGCATTTCCTTCTGAGCATCTATCTTGGGCCTCAAGTGCCCTTCCTGAATATTAGATGATCCCTCCTGATCCATGGCTCGCTCTAACCTGGACTTCCTTGAGGCTCCCTGTGACAATTGTTCCTGCAGTGAGACTTCTTCAGACAAGGCCGGGTGACAAGTGATAGGCTCTGTTGTCTGAAGCTTTTCACAATCACCTGAAGGGAATACAATACAAAAAGTTAGTAATTAGTGATTACATTAGTGATGCTAAGATGTTGTTATTAGTTGCCGTTGAGTACATTCTGATTCGTGTGAAGAACAGAACTACTTCAATGGGTTTTCAACGCTGTGACCTTTTAGAAGCAGATCATCAGGACTACCTCCCCAGGTATCTCTGGGTGGCTTAGAACCGACAACTTTTCAGCTAGAATACTTAACCATTTGTGCTACCTAGGAACTCCAGTGCTAACATGTTGTTATTGTTGTATGCCATCGAGTAGATTCCAACTCAGAGACACCTACAGGACACAGTAGAACTGTCCCATAGAGTTTCGTAGGCTGTAAATCTTTACGGGAGCAGATCACTAGGTCTTTCTCCTGCAGAGCAGCTGGAAATACTGCCTTTATGCCTGTAGGGTTCTGACATCTCTGAAACCCAGGTCAGCCATTTTTTTCTTTTCTGGTCCATGGACTCTTGAAATCTTTACAGGGAAATCCAGATTCTGGGACAAGGGAGAGAGGGTCTAGAATAGAAATACCTTCTCAATTCCAGATGTGGTGTGGGTGGTCATAGTAGTAATGACACTGTGTTTGGTGAGTTTGCTCTAAGTTAGGACATCTCATGGTACTATAGGAACATTAGGAAGGGGTACCTAATGCAGCCCAAGTAAGAGACAAAAACAGATCAGGGGAGATTTCCCACAGGAGAGCACATGCAGTGAGTCCTGTCGGAGACATAGAAGTTGACACACAGAGAGAGTAGGAAGGTTGCTGCAGGCTTAGGAGACAGAAACTACAAATGCAGTATTCAGAGAACATAGGGTTCAGTCGTGTAGGAGAGGAAGGTGATGCTGAGAAAGCTGAGACAGGCAGGGCAGAGTGAAGACTGATTCTCAAGGTCCTGACATGGTTGACGGTGGGGATGGCCACGGCCACTCCCAGGATATGGCTTCTAAGGCAGAACATGAGCAGCATCTGAGTGGACATATTGAGTCTGGTATGCCTGAGGAACAGCTAGCTGAAAAGACTAGTGAAAGAGACACAGTCTGATGCAGAAAATTATAATCCTTTTCTTGAAGACATTAAAGAAGAACTATGTAAATGGAGAACTTGACACAAGGAAAAAAAAACAGAAAATCTGAAGGTCCTATTGTCTACTAATGAAATTTATATAGAAAACCTTTCCCATCAAAAAGTTTGGAAATAATAAGGAATGGGATAATAAATGGATAATTCAGGCATATGTTATTTTTGTGGAGGAGACACAGGGATAGGGAAGAAGCACATAGAGCTAAGTCGAGTATACATAATGTTCTCATTCTTGGGATGCATGATGTTATTCAATATATTATTTAAAAAAAAAAAAGAGCAAGCAAACAAAAATTAATTAAATCAGAGTCATTCATGGACCAATGATGAGACTGTGTCATTAACCAAGGTTTATGGTTAATCTAAATCTGTATACCTGAGGTCCACAAAAGAAAGAGTTACAAGCTACTTGAATATTATGGTTAAGATCTTGGTCTCTGACCACAAAAACCCTAGGCCCAAGTCCCAACAGAACTCAATATTAGTTTTGAAGCACATTGTATGCTACTCAAATTCCCTACTCCTCCATGTTCTCTTCCAAAAAATAGGGATAAAAACAGAGCCTGCCTTACAGGACTGATATGAGGATGATGTTGAACAGTGCCCATGCCATGCTTAGTATGGTGCCAGGTACCAAGAAAGCACTATGTGTTAGTTATTGCTTTTTATTACAGGATAGTCAAATAATATACAACTGGGAGCTAATATGGAATCATGTAAGTTGAAGGTATAAACTATGTGTGGAGTACACTTAGAGAATATTTAAGAGTAAAAAGAACTGGCTGCGAGATGCCTGATGAAACTAACGTTGATGTGGCAATCAGAGTAAGAAGAGAAAAAAGTTCCAGAGAAAAGAGGGAAAGATAAACCAAGAGGCTCAAATGCTAAAAAGCTGATGCATGATAAAGTCTGACAAGTTTGGGCTGTGCTGCATAATAAGCTCAACGCATAGTAAGTTCATTTATTGTATAGAGGTTAAGAGTATACGCTCTGGAGCCAAAACACCTCATCTGGAGCCTCAGATGTTCTTGGACAAATCATTTATCTCCTCTAAGTCTCAACTTTCTCATCTGACAAACTGAGAAACTCTCAGCTCCTGCCTCACAGACTCATGAGGGTTAAATGAGAAAATGTTTGCAAAGGGCTCCATGGTTCCCACATTCCTAGAGAGGTAACAACATGAAGTTTCCTGAGGGGATACAAGGCCAGTGGTCTCCTCGAGGTCTGCAGACTACAGGGCCTGCCAGCTGCCTAGCTCTAGGTCATCTGCCTGGAATGGTGCTTAGGGACAGGTCTTTCTTCACTGACCATAGCTCCTGCCTGAGCTCTAGCTCATAGACAGGATCTGGTTTGGGCATAGGACACCCTATTCATGGAGAAGGAAGCGAACACAGGGATTTTTTTGAGAAGAAATAAAACCTCTCTGTCTAGTCTGGGGCTTCAGGATGGGAATGAGACCTCTGAATGCGGCTGCTCCCATCCAAGCAAACAAAACGCTGACCTGTGACCTGGAAGCCCAGGATACAAACACCATCCTGAGGCCCCAAAGACTGTGGACAGTAGTGCTGGCTGTTCAGGCAGCACCATTCTCTCTGACCTCCAGCCTATAGAATCCCAACACTGTTCAGACACAGCCACAAGACCCAGGGAAATGGCCCCCTCCTTCCAGAAGGTGCTATGTAATTAATCCAAGTCAGTGAGTTTCAATTTGCCTGTAAATTAGAACCACCTTCAGTTGTCTGGTTCCCATTCACAAACAACTAAAACACAATCTCTGAGGACTGAGTCTTGGACATGAGTAGATTTTAAAACTCCCCAGGTGATTTTGGAGCTCAGGCAGATGGAAAGCACTGGTCTCCTCAACTTGCAAACTGTATCCTGATCATCAGTAGTCTGAGGTAGATGTGACATGAAGGCCCCAGGGAATAAAGAAGCCTCACAGACAAGATAATGCAGCTTAGAATAACACCAAGTGGCACTAATGGCAAACACTTCCTAGGGGCCCTGCCTGACTCACACCTATCTAGGAGAACATCCTATCACCCGTGGCCTCAATAACTGGACTGTGGGAACATTTGAGCCAATCAGATTCAGTCACAGTCAAATCCCTATCTGCAATGTGGAATAAAGAGCTAAGATTGAGGCCAGCCTGTGCTGGGCACAGGAGTGAAAGGTCAAGGGAAGTGTGGATGCAGGTGGCCATTTTCTGCCTCACAGAGGCCAGCAGCAGAAAAAGAAACAGAAAATATACAAACATGCAGAGAAAAGCAGAACCGAAGACTCTGGGGGCCTCAGACATTGAGGAATGAGGTGGTCAATTCCTGCCACAAACTCACTAGGGCAGAAAAAGCCAATCTGAAACACACAGAGAGAAGATAAGACAAGGAACTCGACTCAGAAGCCAGGACATGATGTTCGTACTTTCTGTTTCTAGACGGTTTCTTCAAGGGGCCGGGTGGAAATGCTGCCCTAGGGTTTTGTGAGATACCCCCATTTCCTTCTAGCACATTCAGTGAGCCATTTTAGAGACAGTATGTGTCCATTCTAAAGAAAGGTGATCCAACGGAATGTGGAAATTAACGAACAATATCATTAATATCACACACAAGTAAAATTTTGCTGCAGATCATTCAAAAGCAGTTGTAGCAGTACATCGACAGGGAACTGCCAGAAGTTTAAGCTGGATTCAGAAGAGGATGTGGAACGAGGGATATCAATGCTGATGTCAGATGAATCCTGGCTGAAAGTAGAGAATACCAGAAAGATGTTTACCTGTGTTTTATTGACTACGCAAAGGCATTCGACTGTGTGGATCATGAGAAATTATGAATAACATTGAAAAGAATGGGAATTCCAGAACACTTATTGTGCTCATGAACCTGCACATAGACCAAGAAGCAGTCATTTGAACAGAACAAGGAGATATTGCATGGTTTAAAGTCCAGAACGTGTGAGTCAGGGTTGTATCCTTTCACCGTACTTATTCATCTGTATGCTATGCAAATAATCCAAAAAGCTGGACTAGATAAAGAAGAATGTGGCATCAGGATTGGAGGAAGATATGCAGATGACACAACCTTGCCTGAAGAAAGTAAAGAGGACCTGAAACACTTACTGATAAAGAACAAAGGCTACAGCCTTCAGTATGGATTATACCTCAACATAAAGAAAACAAAAATCCTCACAACTGGACCAATAAGAAACATCATGACAAATGGAGACAAGATTGAAGTTGTCAAGGTTTTCAGTTTTACTTGGATCCATAACGAACACCCATGGTAGCAGCAGTCAAGAAATCAAAGGATGTATTGCATTTGGCAAATCTGCTGCAAAAGACTTCTTTAAAGTGTTGAAAAGCAAAGATAACACTCTGAGGACTGAGGTACTCCTGACCCAAGCCATGGTATTTTCAACTGCCTCATATGCATACAAAAGCTGGGCATGAATAAGGAAGACCAAAGAAGAAATGACACCTTTGAATATGGTGTTCTGGAAGAATATTGAATATACCATGGACTGCCAGAAGAATGAACAAATCTGTCTTTGAAGAAATACAGCCGGAA